TCTCTTCTCCTCTTGTCGGTCCGAGTGTTCTAGAGTGATCCGGTATAATAATGATGGCTTGTGGTTCTTTCTCTTCTTTCGTCGGTTCGAGTGCGTGTATTCTAGAGTGAGTATGTTTACTCACTCTAGAATACAAACACTATGTTTAATTTTTGGTGTGAGTGTGCTAATGTTTTAGAGGTGGGGTTCGATTCCTCAACGAAGTTGGTGTCTGGTGACCCTCTTGTTTATTGGTGAACCCAACCCCAAGGTATTGCACTCCCCGCCTTGGGTTGGATCAGACGATTCGTTCGGCAGGCATTGCACCGCCCTCACGGGAGCCTGGCAGTTCACCTTAAACACAAAAAAACTTTCGTAGTTTGTCTTATTGCCTGCGTTTAAGTGTACTGGTAGCAAGAGGTGATTAGTAAACAACAACGAACGAAAGAGAGCATATGTCTTCAGAAACAACCAGAACCAATAACACTCCAAATCGAGTAAAATAAGCGCCATCTGTCTGAATGTTCTCAGGCATAAGTTAACATGATAATAGTAGAATGTAGCTCAACCAAAGAAAACTTGATCGCTGGTCGAAAGCTCATCATTAGACCAAAAACGTCTTTCTCTATCTCATTACCAAGCTCACATTTTATAATCTTTCTTAATCGTTTTACACACATGACCCTTTCGACATTGCTGATACTAGCAGTATGCAGAACGCGTGTCACATGTGGGCTCAGCGATGACCTAGCACAACCATGGTAGCCCTGTGGCTCAGTGGACACGTTCACGCAAAATTCGAGACAATCTCATTGAAGAAATATTTTAGTTGTTCTAGGCTTGTCTTACGCGACAAAAGATGACGTAATGTGTTTTTGACGTAATGTGTCATCAGAGTTTGGCTCTGATGACCTAGTTGGTGGTTCTGGCTTTTTGTTTACAAATGGTTTTGTGTGCTTCAGATTGAAAATCTCTCCGTCAAACTTCTATTTGGTTCGATTTCCACGGCTTAAACGCAAGTATGTCTGATAGTGACGATCAGATATCATCTTCGGCATCTATGATTTCAAGCGATGACCAGATAAGTGGTAAAGATGTGACTTGATTCCTAGCACGAAGCATGTGAGCGCCAAAGGTAATGATAGGTTGGGTGTAAAAACTGCTTGAAGATCCCTAACGTCCAAAATCGACAAACACCAGTTCATTGCCCTG